GTACGTTACGTACGTTAACGTACGTACGTACGTACGTACGTAACTACTACGTACGTACTACTACGAACTACTACGACTACACACACACACACACACACACACACACACACACACACACACACACACACACACACACACACACACACACACACACACACACACACACACACACACACACACGCACTTACCTGGCGCTCTGAGGGGCAGGCCGTTGTCAAGACGACTGGGTTTGGTGGCGATGAACAGGTAACAGAGGACGCATACAGTAATGAGGAAGGCAAGGAGGACCACCGCGGCAATGGATAGACCAACCAGAGCACCGATACTGAGTGGAGGGAAGAAAAGACAAGGAGATGAGAGAAAGTAGAGGAGATAAGGACAGGAGAGAGGAGACAGGAGAAAAGGGATGAGTGGAGACAATGCAAGTAGAAGAGGAGTGAAGTGGAGAGTGCAAAGGTAGAAAGGTAAAGTAGCAGAGGGAACAGAAAGGGGATGGTTGACAGGAGGAGAAAGAAGAGAAGAGGAGAACATTTGAGTAAAGAAAAGAGGAGAAGAAGAGAAAAGAGCATTACAGAGGACATGATGATTTGAAGGATGGAAAAGAGAATATCCAAATGGGGAAGATCAAATATATTAATAATTTGGTTTAGCTCAGTAAAGGGTATAATGTTAAATATTGCAGGTAAATCATAAGGAGCCATGGAGTTGAGTTATTAGCATTATTGTACCAAAATAGTTTTTTCATCCACACATGAAACTAAAACAACTAGAGCTGTTAATGTGTTAAGAGAAGATAAGATGAGCCATAATTATGCACGTGTTGCAACAGCACAAGGACTGAAATGAACAAATTAACTAATAAGGAAATAAAATAAAAAGGAAAACATATTAAATCAAACAGAACATAAATAAAAGCAAAGCATGCGACAGCTGGGATGGATTGGATTTCTTAGTCATGAGATAATCTATCAGTCAGGAGTTAAAACAGGTGGGACAGCTCACATACAACGAATAGCATACACATGTGCCCACACTCATACATACACACAGATACACTGCCACACACACATACAGAGTAATGGCACTAATGAGCCTGCATGACTAATACCACTTCAGTCCCTTCTTCAGATGAGTGCTTATTATGGTCTGTCAAGAAGATGAGTCAGTCTATGTCATGGTTACTATGGTGATCAAAGCCCCCAGCACTTGCTTTAATTGGCCGCTGGCAAAAATAAAACCTTTTAACACCTTTAACTACAGACCAATCGGGCTGCAATGACACATTCAAACAGGCAAGTTGACAAGTGAAAAGAGAATTCCTCGACATGGATTATTAGAATACCTCAACATTATTAGCAAGAGCTAAACAGAAGAGGTGAAAAAGAAACAAATAAACAAGAGCGTATTGTCCCATTTACAGAAAATAAGGGAAAGGTCATTTTGTACAATACAGGTTTTTTGCAACAAAGTGCAGTTATGATCTAATTTTACTACTTGTAACTACTTAAAATTGAAAATGAAGCCTAAAAAGTATTTTTTGTTGGTGAGTTTGGAGGTTGAGTTCAGAAATCTCACAGCCTGAGGAAGAAGCTGTTTTGTAGTCAGTATACGTACAACATCGGATGCTTCTGTATCTCCTTCCAGATGGCAGCAAGGTGGGCAGGCTGTTGCTGGGTTTTGTATTATCTTTTAATTTTCTTTGGAACAAAGTGTGCAAATACAAAATAAATTTATTTTAATACATACTACATACAAACACACCCACGTATAGCCTATATATATATATATATATATATCAATATATAGACACATTCATGCACACATATGCACATACATTTGCATATTAACTTCCTTTTCATAATAAAATACGTATACATTCAGACCTTTACTGTCTGGACATAACATATATGTGTATCCAATATCTTACAGCATGTTTTTTTATTTTTTTTATCTACAGGTACTATTATTATTTATTTTTTCATCACCCTTTTTAACTATCATCAACCATGGATGTATAATAGTTATCAACAAGAAGCAACACCTACATGGGTTTGTATTTTTTCTGATTTTTCTTTAACGCTACTGCGCATGCCCCCAGCTCACACGTCATGTGACAAGGAAAATGAAACCAAAAAGCGGCAGACAAAGGACGGTTTAGGTCGAGAGAAGTACGTGTGTTGGTTTTCTTGTTAGCTTAAGTCTCTTTAACACATACTTAAAGTGTTAAAATAACGATACACTACGTATAGTGCGCTGAGAGATAGTATATGCGTTAAACAGGTAGATTAAATAACAAAACGATATAGATGCACTCGAGTTTATGTTTTGGAAATACGGTTAGAATAGCAGCAGGTTTTAAAGAAGGGCGATTGCTGTGTCTTGTTGTTGAGCTACAGTGAATAATCTTGACCCTAGAAGCCAAAGAGTGTATCTTTGTCTGAAAGTTACAGGTTGCATAAATAGCAGAGCAGACAGAGGACGGGTGTAACAGAGAAGTTAGCGCAGGTAAACAAACAAGGGTCAAACTTTAAGGCTTTTATCTGAGACCCAGAACTAGCTGCGTAGCTATTAGGTGTGTGTGTGCAGGTAAGCTACCTGTGTGTGAAGATGAGGTCGAGCGGTGTGCTAGTGTGTGTGCTCCTGCTTTGGGTTGAAGGCAGCTGGGGGGACATACCGGCCAACTGCACCTATGAGGACCTGCTGGGGACCTGGGTGTTTCAGGTGTCCAAAGGAGGACACGACAAGAACATCAACTGCTCTGCTGCAGGTAAACACACCAATACAGTATTTAAATTATCTCATTATGTGACTGAGGAGTGAGACTGAGAATAGTTTAGCTATTTGGAAATCAACTGACATGTTAGGGCCTGTTGAACTTTGGGCAGACACTAAAGCAGAATGATGACTTCCTCTTTATTGAACTTTAGTCTCGTTTGAATATGTCAATTTTTTATGGCTTGCACTTTTTAAACGATTTTGTACATTTTTATTTTAAAACTTGTATTCATGTGCCCTTCTTTATAGGCTGCTAACGGTTAATACTAACACTTGTAGCTGACATTGTGTGTGTTTCTTGACCTGCCAGTAGACTACAGATCAACATTAGTATTAAGCTAACTCTTTGTCTTGCTCAATATGTTTTCATACAAACAAATATAGATATACACATATTCTCTACTCTTCCTATTGTGTCTGCATCTGTAATTTAAGTGTTTGAGCATACAACACATGGGACTTTCAGCTGCTTTCACTTCCACATAGTGCCAGCCAAAAACTCGTACTTGCTCAATTTATTAGCATCCATGGGATCACATATTTTTTTGTTGAGGACTGATGATTAACTTAGGGTTTAATCATTTCCTGAAGTTAAACTCTACATTGTATGTTTTGGTGTTCCTCCTCAGCCACGGTTGAGAGCACGGTGACTGTGACCCTGGAGAAACCGTCAGTATCCACAGATGAGCTGGGGAACAGCGGCTTCTTCACCCTCGTCTACAACCAGGGCTTTGAAGTGGTCATCAATGGCTACAAATGGTTCGCCTTCTTCAAGGTAAAACATGCATTGACACAATTCACTTATTTTAGACAAAATGTGAGTATTATGTCATGGTCATTCTGCAAAAACGACTCATTTCCTGTTTGGTTTGAAGCTCGTGTTTCAATCTTGATATTTTCTCGCTTCCACTGGCAGGAAATTAAAACTCAAGTGACTTTCAGTCGTGTTAAATTGACGCCCACCAATTTATCCCCTGCATGGAAGGCTTTCTGTGTCTCCCTCTCACCATCACACTTTCTGTAAATCTGTTATAGCTTTTTAGTTTCTCTCCTCTCAGTTGTGTCATCCCCAGACTTCTGACTTGTGATGTTTTTTAATACAGTCTAGTAAAAATGCTTGCGACAAACAATTTCATATCCTCTTTTTGCACTTTAGCTTTGCTTGTTTTATACACTCGTCATCATCTTTCTTGTGAAAGCCCAGCTGACCACAAACTTTGTGTGGTCAACATCCAACTCATCATGCATCATCGCCTGACATTAATGGTTTAGTTTCACTGTCACTAATTTTCCTCTCTGCTTATCTGAAATGTGGTTAGGGGTTATCTTTAACATCTTTGATGCGCACTAGGCCAGGCTGAAAGGAATTAGAAATTGCACAGTTTAAAAGCAGCTACATTTGAGGTTGATCTTTTCTCATGTGACATTTCCCATCACTCATGTGACACTGAGTTTCATTTCATTTTTATTTGTCTCGCTTATGGTACGCAAAACCCAATGTACAATAATTGCCAACAAAACATGTCTCTACAAACACACCATTGAGCGAAAAGGAGCAGGGAGAAGAAACAAATCTTATATGACCTGCCCCTTTCTAAAAAAAACTAAATACATAGAAATAGATGGTCTGCCCTTCATAATAATAATTTAAAAAAATTCACAGCCAAACATAACAGTATCTTAGGATATTAAGAGAAACACAAAAAATACTTATTTCCCACTTGACGGTTAACGGAAAGAAACCGAAAAACAACACAAAACAACACCAAAACGTCACATGTATAAGGAAAAGGAAAAGTGCAACACCCTCATCTGAGTCCTACTGGAGTTGAAGGAAGTGTCATATAAGGCTTGTTTGAGACGCGTTGCGGCTCGCCTCGAAAGTAGACGAGAATAGCCGATCGCAGCCGGGGGAGGTCTCAAAAGCTCGCCTGAAGTCGGACAGCTCCGAGTCGGCTTCTTCTTCTCTTCTTCCTCGCTTCTTCTTCTCTCTCTCGGTTTTTGTGTGATTGCAACCAATTTAAGGGGCATACCGCCACTCCGAGTCGGACTTGACTCGTTTGCATTATAAAGAATGCACACATGGTTTTAAATCGTTAATGTCAGAATATGACAAGATAAATACATTTGTGACTGCTCAAGATGAGATTTCAACTTATTGTTATTGCACTATTAAGGTACTGAGACGACAACAAAATGCAGTTTAGCTTCCAACCAAGCGGAGTGCAACAAGCACAGTAAAAGTGAAAGAATGTGATCATCATCTATAACGAATACACAAGTAGATGAATGAGTGAGATGATGAATGTATTCACTTAACCAGTGAGGGTAGCAGAAATATACACAGCAGCCGTGAGCAGTATGAAACACTGTGTATGAATATGCCTAAGAATATATAAAGTATGAAAACGGTAGCAGTGTAAGTATAGTATAACATATATAGATACTTAATTTCATGATGAATAAACATTGTGGAACAATGATGAAAAAATGTGAATGGAAGTGGCGACGTAAAACTGACACAAACAACACAACTTTTTGCCGAGCCAATTGGTGAGAGTTTCATCAGCAGCACGTGGTAAAACCACCAAT